TTAATCCCACTTTAAATTTCTCGTATTAAATTTTCTGTCCATTTTCAGTAGTAATAAATCATCCTATAATGTAAGCTTTGCTGTTCTTTACAGTTAAAACAATCTCCACAACAAATTTTGGAAGATTCAGTTGTTATTATTTCCATTCAATGTAGCCTATCTCAGCTAAGTCTTATTTTAAGTTAGTTTTTCATACTTGGAAAATTCACGTTCAAAATAAAGACAGATTAATGATCAGGTGAGTGACCTGACAGGTTGAAGGCAGCCTCACACATAGCTGTTAGGCCTTTCTCCGCTGTCCAGGTTTGGTTTAGAGGGACAAGGACAGAGAGATCAAGTCAGCGTACCCTTCACCCATTTTATGTTTAACATGCCCGCGGAGCTCTGTGTGAGCTCTGAGAGTGACCTGCATCAGCACCACTCTGGAGAGCCAATGCAGATTCCAGGCCAGCACAGAGCCACAGATTCCCACGGGGTGTGGTGCTGGTCATCCCAGGGGTGCCGTGATGGGGCAGGGAGGTGGTTCGGTGGGGGTGGTCCTGACAGGGTTTGGTGCGGTTTGGGGTGATTTACACACTCCTCTGCTGCTCTGGCTCTTCAGCCATTGCCTCTCACAGTGCCCATTTCTGATTGATTGTTAGTCCTAAGTTTCTTTGATCATTTCTTTCTTTCTTTCTTTTTTATTGGAGACAGTAGTGTGATATTAGCTCACTATAACCTAGAACTCCTGGCTCAAGCGATCCTCCTGCCTCAGCTGCTGAATGCTGGGACTACAGGTGCATGCACCACCCGCTGGCTAATTTTTTTTGTAGAGACGCAGTCTCGCTATGTTGCCAAGTCTGGTCTAGAACTCCTGGCCTCAAGTGATCCTCCTGCCTTGGCCTCCCAAAGTGCTGGGATCACAGGCATCAATGAGCCTTTTTGATCATTTTCTTTCAGTCTATTAAACATAGGTTTCTGGACTCAGAAAACAATTAAAAACCCATTTGGATACCGTTAAGATAGGGTGGTTAGGAGGACATTTTTCCAGCTTAAACAAGTAGGATTGAGATATTTTTAGTATAAAATAGACTACTAGACATAAGGGTGCTGGATTTAGGGGCTGTTCATCTGCAATAATTTTAAAATTTTGGAATTTTAAATTTGAAAAGTAATTTATAAAAATTTGTCATATATTTTTCTTCTATTCTGTATGGTTGGAAAAGATGTATTACCACCTGAGGAAATTGAATGAAATTAGCTCTAATCATTATATTATTTGAAGCCAGCTGTGGTGGCTCACCCCTGTAATCCTAGCACTCTGGGAGGCCGAGGTGGGAGGATCGCTTGAGCTCAGGAGGTCGAGACCAGCCTAAGCAAGAGGGAGACCTGTCTATACTAAAAATGGGAAAATTAGCCAGGCATTACAGTATGTACCTCTAGTCCCAGCTACTTGGGAGGCTGAGTAAAGAGGATTGCTTGAGCCCAGGAGCTTGAGGTTGTAGTGAGCTACAATAATGCCACTGCACCTACCTGGGGATGGGAAGGCAAGATTCTATACTCACAAAATAAATAAGTAAAATATACATATATATTTTATTTGAGGGCAGGCATGGTGGCTCACACCTGTAATCCAGCATTTTGGGAGACTGAGGCAATAAGATTGCTTGAGGGCCAGGATTTAAGACCAGCCTGGGCAACGTAGCAAGACCCTATTTAATTTAAAATTAGACTGGCATGGTGGCATGTGCCTGCAGTCCTTGCTCCTAGGGAGGCAGGAGGATCACTTGAGCCGGGAGTTCAAGGTTTCAGTGAGCTACATCATGCCACTGCACTCCAGCCATTATTTTATTTTTTACAGTTTAAAGTCTGCTATTTCCAGTGATATCTATGAAGTTAATTAGTTTAGGCTTCCTTGGTAGTGTATACTATATATACGTATTATGTGTATGTGTGTGTGCGCGCGTGTGTGTGTGTGTGGTGGTGTATATATATATTTTTTTTTTTTTTTGGCTGGAAGAAATCCCGAAATGATTGTGTGATTTTGAAGAACTGTTCTTACTGTTTAGGTGACTTGACTTGAACTGCATCACCCCATGCCCTTGGTCACAGGTGATGCATCCCTCAGACCAGGCTCTTGCCTGTACTTTTGCCTCGCTGTTCTGTTCAGAAAGTTCAAGTCTGAATTTTTTTTAATATTTGAAAAGCACCAGTGTTTTAGGAATTCAAGAAATTTTACATCGGGAGGAGGGGAATGGGCTCTTTGAAACCTTAAAATCTGTGGCCCCTAAATGGTGTGTAAATTGAAAAAATGGTGACAT